GGCAAAATAGGACAGAGAAGTTATAACCTGCAAAGCCTAAAGCATTTATTATCTGGCCCTTTACAGACTTAGTCTGCTGAGTCCAGGCCAGGGAGCTCTAACTCAGGTGGTCCATCGGAGGCCCCAGGTTCTTTTCATCTAGCGCTGGCTCCCCCATTTTAGAGGTTGTTTTCCGATTGGCAGATTCAGGCCACTCCCACATCCGTGCCCCAGCCCTCCTTAACAAAGAACAGTTAAAAAGAATGGCAAACAAAATTTCTTTTTCAGCATGGTAAGCAGAAGTTGCACATAGCAGTTTTGTTCCCAAGCTTTCCTTTGATGAACTTATTCAGATATCCTACACAGTTTGTTGTACAACAGAAACTAACACGCCCCTGTAAATCAACTGTGTAAATCATCCAATAAATTTTTTAAGAAAGATTCTACCCAGAGATGAAAACAAGGAGGCTGAAAGTGAAAGCAGGGAGGGTGGTTAGAGGATGGGGTGGAGTGAACCAAAAACTTGGTACAGGCATGGAGTACATATTGTAATTAAATCTTAAAAACCTATTGAGTGCCTTAAGTCCATTTTAGGTTCCAAATATGGAAAGTCATCCTTGCTTATGATGAAAAGTCTTCACGATATTTATTAAAATGGCCACTTTTTGATGTGAAGGCAAATTGATTTTCAAGCTAGAACTTCTGCCAGAAATTCTCATATTTCAATGCACATGTTGAGGACAAAATGTTCTCCAGGTTCCCCTCAGGACCCATGCAGTAAAGACAGAAAATATTCTGGAATTAAGAGAAAAGATGAAGCCTCAGTTAGGGCTTGGGGTTACTTCCAGTCATGTCTCAAGCTCTATGAGGTAGAAGAAGACATGAACTCACACAGATCTCAGCTCTGCTGACTGCTTATTACAAGTATTTTCTGCACTTATATGTAGGTAATTTTTTTTAATTGCAGTGATAAAATTTTTGCATTTTTGTCCAAATGAACTTGCCTAATTTGCAATCCTATCGAAGGTTCTCTTCTTGACTTGCTGTTTTGGGCGGGGGGGAATTAATTCACATTCTATAAGTATTTATGCAAGAAAACAGATGAATTTTCTTTTTTCAAATCACGATGGCAGGGACTCATCACTTTTACAAATAATGTTACATTGTTGGTGGTTGGTTATTGCTTGGTATGTTTGAAGAGCTCCAATCAGCTGTATTCTATCCTGGAGAATATGGCTGCCTGAAATTACTCTCTTGTTTCTTAGCAGAACCAAGACAGAAAAAAAACAGCAGCTTCATCCTAGAACAGTACTGAATTAGCCTTCTAAACGAGAACCATAACCAGGCCGCACATATTACTATCCTAATACTTGACATGTTCTGAAATTAGAAACAGAATAATATTGGAAGTTTTTGGAGCCCAGGACGATTTAAAAAATTTGAAGATTAAATTCATTACAGTCTATTGGGTACAACATCTCTCAAAACCTTGCTAGACCAATATACATATGGAAAGGAATTCACCACATATACGAGAAAAGTTATTTCAAAGTGATGGGGGGAAAGCTCTTTCATAAGTTCCATAGGAATAATTGACCATTCAATTGAAGAAGAAAAAAAAATCAAATTTGACTCCTCCCTTACATCACATGCAAATTCATCCCAAAAGGATTAAGGAGCTGAGTGAAAACCATTTTTTGAAGTATTAGAAGAAAATATAGACTTTTGCCTGCTTGCTAAGTTGCTACAGTTGTATCTGACTCTTTGTAACCCTATGGACTGTAGCCCACCAGCCTCCTCTGTCCATGGGATTCTCCAGGCCAGAATATTGGAGTGGGTTGCCATGACCTCCTCCAGGGGATCTTCCCAACCCAGGGATTGAACCCATGTCTCTTATGTCTCCTGCATTGGTGGGCGGGTTCTTTACCACTAGTACCATCTGGGAAGCCCTCTATTGACCCGTGTTCATGTTTAAACCTTCTGTAAGGCAAAAACCAAATTAGGTAAAAGGCAGTCTTCGTAAGTCACATTGTCAATATATAAAGTATATAGTTCATGGAAAAAATGTTTTTTAAAGAAGCTTTTTATAAATGAATAAGCATCTAACAAGGATATAAGCACATTTCTTCAACAAAGAAATACAAATGGCTTATAAATTAATGAAAAGTCTCTGAAACAATGAGACCTTATTTTACTCATCATACAGGCAAACATGATGAAAACCAAACATATGGAATGCTATGCAACATGTGAGGAAATGGAAACATTGTAGTTGTAAGTTGGGAGAAGATTGGGGGTATAAGTTGGGGGGAAATTTCTAAGACCTATAAAAATTTTTAAATCCTGTTTCCCCCAATCAAGCAATTCTACTTCTGTGTAGTTATTCCTTGAGAAACACATACATGCAGAAAGAGTCCCCTACAAGAGTATTTAATGTTTATAATAGTGAAAACTGAAAGGACAGAAAAGTTCATAGGAGAACACATAAGCAGATTATGGTGCATGTCATACCAGTTAAAAAGGTGGAGTTCCATTTATATGGACCCGATATAAAAGTTCTTGATGAAATCACTGAGTGAAGAAGCAAGTTTTAGTTTACTATTGTGTGTGTGTGTGTGTACACATATGTAAAGTATGGTCTCATTTATTTCAAAAACTCATAAAACAAAACAATGATTTGCTTATATTTGTGTATGTCACTACATGGAAAAAAGTTGAAAAGAATACCTCTTGGCTGTTGCCTCTCAGAAATGTGACTGGGTGGAGCTGGCTGAAGAGGAACTTTCACTTGTACTGTTTTGATGTTTGAGAGTGCATTTATGGAGAAGGCCCTCTCTGAGGGAGTTTATTCTGTACTGTGTATGCAGATAGAGTTACATTATAAAGAAAGCAAAAATGAGATATTTCGGGGCTATCCGTCCTCCTAGTTTGCTCAGGATGTCTCTGCAGCTGGTTCTCTTGACTGCTTGCTTTGTTGTTTCACTTACCCACTCCAGTGTGTATCTTTACAAGTCAAACTGGCCAAGTGTGAGGAGGACCGGCTATTTGTTTATAAATTTACTACGTTATACTATTTGGCTGGGGAGCAACAGTTATTCCCTGGCTTTGTAATTCATTACATTGCTTGTAAGTAATAATTGAAAGAGAGTTTAAAAGCAATATTAGTTTCAAAAACTTTGACCAATAATTGTTCTGAAGTGTCAGGTTCCTTGGTAACATACCAAAAGGCTTAAAATGAAGGCTTCTTATTTTTTTCTTTATTAGAAATTTCAAATTACTTACATTTATAACAACACTCAAAGTTCAATAGGATGGATGAAGATTTCTGCCAAATGCTCTTACTTAACATTTTTCTAGTTTTAGCAATAGCAATTGTTACTTGCACATTAAAAAAAAAAAAATCTTAGTAGCATAAGGCAAGTTTGTGGAAAACCTAAAATCTGTATTTTACATGTTAGTAAATTCAGGCTAAACCAACATCAGATTAATTATAATTAAGATTAGGGTTCAAGTTTTGTGACTTGTGGCCTAAGTTTTGGGTTTTTTTCCCCACATGTGGCCAATATCCACAAACTACATACACTTTCTTAAATCTTCTGATAGTTCTTTCTAAAACTGAAAGTTTTACTTCGGAGGATTATAAAACAGTATTTCATATACTGGAGATTGGAATATAGCATAAGAAACTGAGTAAAATTCATTTTAGAAAAAGGTGAAATTTAAGATGATAAATGCATCTGTACTGTGAATTAAAAGAAGGAATTTCTCTCTTGCATAGAAGATGACACTTGCAAAAATAAAATTCTTGTCTATCACACAGTACACACTCATTTGTATATTAGAGAGGGATTCTCCACACTATTTCAGTTTAAAATGGATCCTCCACTGTTCTTTCATTTTTAAAATGGATTCTAATTATTAGGCTACAGTCTAAAGGAATTACCATGTATTAATTTTTCAGTGACTTAATTTGAGACTGAGGTGTATGTTATTCCTATGACAAAAACATTTTGCAGAAAGACTTTTTGCTGTGTATATCAGATTTATGATGATCTTACATGTAAAAATGCCTCAAAAAGTCAAAATCCTCCAAATACATTTTACATTTGAGTAAATACAGTTAAGATTAAACAATGAAATTCACTTGTCCTCTACTAGACTAAATACTACAAGAAACAGTTAGGTAAGCAGTAGAATACTGTGAAATTGCAGGCAACTGCATGCATGCCTGGTGCCTTATCCAGCACAGCTGACCAAAATATATATCAGAGGGGCGTGTTACAGCCGATTCAATTGCATTATATATGGCTGATGACCACCATCAGTCACAGTGTCCTTTGAAGAGAACCAGCCTCTTCTTCCTATGAATTATAAACTGGATCTGCTTTTGTTGTGAAACTTATTCGCTGCAAGTCAATGGCTGAAATTTTATGGTGTATCCCTGACTTCAAGTCCCCACCGCGAGGTCTGTAGACCCACGACTGCACTGAACCCACCCTACAGAAGTCAAGTGCAGCGTCCGGGGCAAGATGCGGGAATGCCACAACCGCAAACTGTGCGATAAAAGAGAACCAAGGGCATCGCGAAACGGGAACAAATGGTAATATTTGTCTGCCGGATGCACACAAATTTAAACCAGCGCCCCTCTCTGCTTTAGACTGTGGCCGGGGCACAGTCGCGTATTTCAGGGGATAACATAATGGAAAATTCGGGGGTGATCAGTGCTGGAAACAATGGCTTTAGTGTACGTTTTAACCACTTCCAGCCAAATTAAAAGGAAGAGGCTTGTAGGTCCACCGCGCCAGGCTGGCCAGCCACCTTTAGGGGAGAAAAGAACAAATGATCTCATAACTGTCAGGCTTGGGGGAAAGCTACTTTCGCTCTTTAAAAAAAAAAAAAAAAAGATGAAAGGTGTCGCTGCCGCAGTGGAACCCGAGGCGAGAACGCGCGCGGCGTGGCGCGCTCCGCGCCGTGGGGACCATACGTGTTGCCAGAAGCCTCAAACTTCCATAGTACCTAAACTACAGCTTTCGCTCCTCTATTTGAGGCGATGGTGGGAAGGCAAGTTTCACCTGTAAGAGAATCTGATAGGAGTCTCTCTCTCCTTGCATTGTGTCCAGGCTCGGGGTCCTTCCGAGTTCCATCCCCTTTGCTCCCCGCAGGTCCTGGCCCCGCACTCGCCGCCTCTTCCACACCTGGGTCGCCGTGGGTTGAGCACCTGGGTCCGCCTTGACCCCGCCTAGCCTCCCTCCTCTCCAACGCTGGCCCTGGAAGGTGACTCGTGCCTGACTTAGAGGCAGCCAGGACCGCAGAAGCCCAAGGACACGAGAAAAGGGCGCAAACATCTGCGATCCGCTCTCACGCGTTAGAGGCACAAATAGAGCTCTAACTAACCTCACTCCAGCTCATCGCGAGGGGAAAAAAGGGAGGGGGCGCGTCGCAGGGCCCTCTCCTGCCTAGCCACGCGTGGCGAAATTTCCGGCGCTCGGGCCAGCGAGAGCACAGGATGCGCATCGCAGCCGCTCAGCTCCAGAGCCTGAGCCGGGAGCTACTGCATCTTCTCCAATCGCACCCCGAAGGGAGAAGGAAATCGCCCCTTTTGTTCCCTGCCCACGAGGCCAAGGGATCTGGGAGCCGGGCCCAACTGGGTAGGGATCGCGGGCCGCGAGATCCCCGGCGGCGCCGGCTGCGGCAGCTCCTCGGCGGCGAGGGTTAACAGAGGTCCCTGCGGTGGCTTCCTCTCGCTGGCCCGGGAACGTGTATACCGCGCCCGCAGGATGTTCGCCGGCTGGGCTGGGCAGTCAGGAAACATGAGAAGGCCTCGCTATTCCTGTTCCCGGGCCGCGCGCGCCCGTCCGGGTAAATAAAGCCGCGACGCTGGCGGTGGCGGCGGTGAGCGCGCCGGAGCCCGCGCGGAGAACATGCGGCGGGGATGGGAGCGCGCCTAGCCTCGACGCGGGAGAGCCAGCCGCTCTGCCGCCGGCCGCGGGCCCCACCGCGACAGGTACAGCCCCGGCCGCGCCGTCCCCGCGCGGAGTCGCGGGAAGGGAGGCTCCCTCCCCTCTCCAGCAGCCCCTTCCCTCTGCGCCCGGCGCTGGGAGCTCCCGGCCCTTCCCCCACCTCCCTCCGAGGTCCTTTGGGGACGCGCCGGGGAGGGGGGTGGCGGGCGGTGGTGGTGGCGGCCGAGGCTGGCCGGATGGGCTTCGAGGAGTCGGAGAGCCCACCTGGCTGTGCCCCCTTTGCTTAAAATTGTTCGCGGGGTTTGGGCGGGGCGGGTCCGAAGGGAGGGCGCTCCCCAAGCCACAGTGGAGGGAATCTGGGTAAGTGGGGGAGCGCGGGATCCGAAAGGCGGCGACGGGGACCGCGCAGGGGCCCCCGGGGAGGGTTAGGAGCTGCGATTCACACGCCTCCGGACGTCGGGGACACAGCTCTCGGCCCTTTGCCTTGCTGGGATCTGTAGTGAGGACCTCCGTACGGGCTTGGGGCAGCGGGGAGGGTCGGCAAGGCGACACTCGCGGCGCAATGGCCAGGGAAAACACGCCGTCGCACACAGGAGGACAGGGCTGAGGTGGGGACAGACGCGGGCCGGGAACGGGTGTGCTTCCCAAAGAGCAGCCTGGACGCAAATCCCTAAGTACAGAGACTGTAAAAGAAAAACAGGACGCGTCCGGACAGGGGCACATGGGCCGCGAGCGCGGATGTCCGCTTTCCCCTCTGCTCGCTGAGGCTGTCTGAACCCCAGACGTACCTGTGTGAATCGGAGGGCTCGGCCCTGCGGTACAGCGGGCAGCCGGCAGAGGTCTGACTCCACCTCTCCACGAACACTGCCGGGAGCTGAAGTTAACCGCTGCGGTCACGACCCTAAACATCGCGCGTGGCCGCTGCTGCGGTGGCCCGAGGGCGGGGCGGGGGCGTTGGCGAGCGTGGGCACCCGGCGTGTGTGCCTGGGGGTGGTTGCCTCGCTGGGGCCGGACGGGGTGAGGGGACGCGGATCGCGAAGCGGGGGCGGCTCGGAAGCCACGCGAGCTGTACCCCCCTCCTCTCCAGGCGCGAGGCGAGGAGGTGCGGCGGCTGCGCGCCTCCGGGCGACCACCCGGCTGCTCTCGGGCGAAGCGGACCGGCCTGCGAGGCTCACGCGCGTTGGGCAGAGGCTCCCGGCGGTCGCGACCCGGGAGATGAGCTGCGGGCTTTTCCCCGCAAGCTCTGTGGAGCGCGGACCGCGACGCCTTTCCCCCGCTTTTATCACCTTTTGCAACTTCTGCACTGGTTCCCCGAGACCCCAGAAAGGGGTGGGAGGGAAAGGACTCCGAGCTCGCCGCTCGCGCCCGCGCTGCGAAAAAGAACAGCGCTGACAACCAGCTCTGGAGGTCCGGGACTCGGGCGCCTTTGACCTGCCCGGACCCTGCGCATCCGGGGCGGCGGGAGGGGTGGCAGGAGCCTCGAGAGAGGGCCGCTTAACTCCCTGAGGCCACTTAACTTTCTATCTGTGGAATCTGCAACTTTCCCTGCCCTCACCCCGCCCCCCACCCCAGGAGCTGTAGCTGGAAAAAAAAAAAAAAGGACGCAGAGGTTTCAGCCAAACCACCCAGGATCTAGCAAACAAGCAAATCCCTGAAATCCTGTTATGCACTGGGACTCATTAACTGGGGCTGGCGGATGCGGTCGTTCGTGGTACCCCCAATTTTCCCTTTCTTCCAACCCTTCCTGACGAGCCGGAGTGGGAGCTCTGGGAGGCTTTAGTCTCCGGTTGTGATTGAAGAATCACGCACGGCCCCGCGTTGTCCTCCCCCGCTTTCCGGAGTGTGCATCATCCAGATTAAAGCCAACTCTGTAAGGCTTGTTTAGGAATCACTTTCCTTTGTCAGGCGGGTAAACTGTTTCTGGCTGACATTCCTTGCGGGCTGGGAAGCCAGGGCAGAGAGGAGGGTGGGTACCAGTCCCGGGAGTGCTCGGGGGCGGTGACCCATGTTACCCGGGAGCGGTGTAACCAGGTAGGGGAAGGCTGGAGTCCCCGGGTTCAGGTGCCGCGGCGTCGCTGCTCCCTGGGCTCCGCAGCCCCGCGCCAAGGCCAGCTTCGGACTTGGGACGCTCCCGAATGTGAGCACTGTCAGCGAGTAATGTGATTCATCTTTATCTCCTAGAACCCGAGCCCTGCGGAGCTCCTGGCGGCCCGGTCCCAAGGCGCTGCGGCCGCGCCGCGCGCCCTTGCCTGCCCGCGCCATGAACACGATCGTCTTCAACAAGCTCAGCGGCGCTGTGCTTTTTGAGGACCGCGGGGCTCCGGAGCGGGATCGGGGCGGCCGGCCCTACGGCGGCGTCCTGGACAGTCCCCACGCTCGCCCCGAGGTGGGCATTACGGACGGCCCGCCCCTCAAGGACAACCTGGGCCTGAGACACCGGAGGACCGGGTAAGCTCACCCTCCCGGGGCCCCTGCCCGCCGGCTGCCCGGAGAGATGGGAACAGAGAGACGCGGGCGCGCTGGTGCCAACCCGGGCGTGCGTGTCAGGGGCCCAGAGTTTCCTGGGAGGACAGGTCTCCGCCACCCGGTTTCGTACATTCTCATTTTAAGATACTAGTTTTTCCAAGGGGGGGGGGGCGGGGAGGGGATCGATTCGTTAGAACAGCTCAAAAGAGGCTCGCTGGAAGCGGAGGACTCCTGAAAGTGCCCTTGAGTGCTCCGAATCCTGGACCTCAGGGATGGTGGTGGGGGTGACTTGCTCCTCTCCGGACCGCGATGCAGTTGCGCGGCTGAGGATGAGGCAGAAAGGCCTGCTCGGGGTGCACGAGCACGGGGCAGGGTCAGGCAGTCGGGGCTCCCCCCTGTCAGGCCAGCCCCGGGGGCTTCCCCATCTTGTGTCGCGACAGGGCCTTGCAGCCGGCCAAGGTCGGCTCTGCGCAGGACGCCCAGGACGCGCGCGCGGCTCGGCGGGGTCCGCCGCGAGCCCGGAGGGTGGGTGCCGCTTGGGGCCTGGGTTTCGGTTTTAGCGGGCCGAGCGCTGCGGGTGGGGTGGGAGGCGCGCAAGAGCTCGCAGGCCGCCAGCTGCTCCGGTGCAGAGGCCGTCTGCGGCCCCGCCACGTCCGGGCGACTCCGGGAGCGTCCCGCGGGGTGGGGCGAGGGGGGCGGCGGGCGGCCGTGCTGGCCGGTCCATCTGAGAGATTGCATCAGCTGCTTGTTCTGCGGCGTTGCCTGTTAGTGAAGTAGAGATCAGGTTTCGTCAAAATGTTACTACCAGTCCTCACGGATGGAATTGGATTTCAAAGAGTTTAAAGAGGCAAAAGCCCTGGAGGCTGCGGCGCAGGCGCGCGAGCTCGCGGAGCGGCCAGGACGCCCGGGCGGCGGCGCGGCGACCCCTCCCGGAGCTGCCGAGGAGCGCAGCGCCCAGCTCCCCGGCCCGCTCTCCTTCCTTGGGAAAAAACTCTTCCTGAGGTCTTTATACTTTCGCCGGTGGGACAGTCCTGTCCGTACTTTTAAGCTCTTCCTTATTTCGTGAAAAGCCCTCGACAGTGTTTTGGGTTACTTGTTTGTTACTTGTTTGTTTTGTTTTTTTCCGGTTCAGCATCTTTCCTCCACAAACCCTTTCTTGGACAGTGTCCCCTTTACCCAGAGGATCCAAGGATATAGGGAGAGTTTGCAGAGGAACCAGGGCAGGGGGCGGCCATCACCCCCTCGCTTTATTCCAACCGTCCAGTGGCGACCTTTGACCACAGGCGACGGGAAGCCCCAGCGGCGGGCTTGAGTCCCTGAAAGAATGTTCTTGGAGAGTGTACACGGCCCGCGCTCGAGGCCAGGGCCCCTGGAGGGGACAGCCCTGCTGCGCAGATCTGACCACTTAACCCTCAGCCTCTCGCTTCAGGATCTCTCCCGCGCCCTCCCCCACCTTCCCCTTTCAGTATAAAGCTGGTGGCCTTGTCCTGTGACTCCCAGGCCATCCGCGCCCTGGCACCTCCAATGCCTCCTCCACGTCCGCGCGCGCGGGACAGGGGTCCACACAGGCTGAGACGCGTGCAGACGCGACCCTCGGGGTCGCGGAGGAGGGCGCGGCTCACGGCCCCTCCTCTCTCGCTGTCCCAGGGCCCGGCAGAACGGCGGGAAGGTGCGGCACAAGCGGCAGGCCCTGCAGGACATGGCGCGACCCCTGAAGCAGTGGTTGTACAAGCACCGCGACAACCCGTATCCCACCAAGACCGAGAAGATTCTCCTGGCGCTCGGCTCGCAGATGACGCTCGTGCAGGTAATCGGGGCCATGAGCCCCTTCCCCTCTCTTGGTGAGGCGAGGCCGGGGCGCAGGCCGCCTTTCTCTTCCCCGCTGTTGGGAAAGGATGGGCCCAGACCGGCCGGTCCGGATGCTCCTCTGGGTCCTCCGGCCTGTGGGTGATGCAAGGCGGGCACAGGGCAGAGCTCTGATGCGGGAAGAGCCTCCGGGTTTCCTCCCATCTTATCTCAGTTTGGTCCAGGAGGGATTGTGTGGTGTTCGTTAAGGAGGGCAGTGAAAAGTCAAGTGCGGACTTATGAGAAGGTGTCCAGATTCTATACAAGTATAGATGGCTACGGATGGACTGCCCCAGTGGTGATTTTCAAACTTGTGTACGCATCAGACTCACCAGGAGAACTTGTTAAAACACGCATTGCTGCGCCCCACCCGGAGTTTCTAGTAGTCCTTGGGCGAGAACGATAATTTGCATTCTAACAAGTTATTGGTGGTGATGCTGAAACACCACACTTTTAAAACCAGGCAGAAAGACACCCCACATCAGGTCCCCATGTTAAAGGTCAAGTACAGGATAAGTTTTAATTAACCATTCCTAACAGAGCTAGGAGGTGGATTGGAAAGGCAAGAAGTGGATTTGGGATTTTCTTTTCTTTTTCTTCTTTTTTAATAAATGACACCCAGGGCATTAGCTAGAATCCACACAGTTTTGCCGCTGTTTATCTTTCTACTCAGGCTAAAAAGAGGCAGATTTCAAATGGCAGGGTTACTTGTTCAAGTGTAGAGAAATGGTGTGAGTTTGTTGCCAATCTAGTGAATTACATTTGACAAGTTTTTCCCCTCCATAACAGTTATCACAAGCTTGGGTGACAAAGGTAGAGCCCTTATCAGCATTTTATAGATGATGTAATCAAGGCAGGAAGAAGTTGTGTTCCTAGGGGTAGGGAAGGCCTGGAAATAATGTAATTCTATATCAAATGCTCTTTCCATCACACAAGCTTTCTTTCATAAATGTAGTAAGATAAACTTTTATGCATCAAATAAAACATTTAACTGAGAAAAAGAGGAGGAGGAGCTAAATGAGCCAGTCAATCTCATGCATTATAGTAGCGCTGCATCACTGCATCGTGAAATTTTGGTCATTCTGTGAAAGTTACAGTGAAAACCCCCAAATAACAGGGAATATTTAACTATTAGATAACAAAGATTTCTTTCCAGAGTGTAAGATTGTCCTTTTAGGAATTACTAGAAAGTTTGACAAAGCATGAAAATTGACTTGTATTCAGCCTTATTAAAACTGTAATATGCATTTTCTGCTTATTTTCAGAGTATGATTGTAGAGAAAAACATCTGTTTTGCTTTATATTAACAGGCAATAGTATTAATAGTGATTTGCTGCAGCACTGGAGGGGAAAATTAATTTAGTGTTCTTGGCTTAATATCTGTTTAACATAAAACTATGATTTTTTATTTTAACATAAACTAGTGATGTTCAAAATTAGTTTCTAAATAAATTATTCCAATCAGAAAAACTTAAGAAAACAAATGCATATGTTCAGATTTCAGTTTAAACTGGTATGCTATTTATTTTGAAAATACACTACTTTATAGAGCTGTATGAATATTTCACTCTGATGTCAACAGTAAAGCATTAGATTATTGATTATATAGTTCCATATTTAATACTTGCCATTCTTTCAGACACAAAGCAAAAAATGTTTATGACATATTTAGGACATTTTTAAACGTGAAATGTATTTGTCATTAGCAGAGACATTTAAATTTTTATGTGCAATAGTTTTTTTAGCTCCAATAGAAATAGTTATTTTTTAATACAAAATCAAATTGTTTTCTACCTGAAATGGTCATTCAAATGCAGTTAACAATTCTTTTTGTGTTAAGATCTTGGTAAAACTATTGCATTTTTCTAATTTACCTGAAGTTTTCATGCATGTATGAAAAATCTTGCCATTATTTTTTCTATTTCACTATAGTCTTCAGAAAATAAAATGCCCACAAATATGTAATTTTTGAATGGGGCAGAGGTACTTGTTTATAATTATAATTGATACCCATTTAATGATTTCCAAATTTTATAGTAAATGAAGTTGGTTTCTAGAACATTAAAGTGACAAATGGAAAAATTCAAAATGTATAGAATGACCAAGGGACCCTTATATAGCATTCAGTTTGGATCTAGTTATTCTCAATTAGGCACAATGGAATGTCTATCGAAGAAAACATATATATATTTATGACTATAAGGAGTCTCTATAAGTCAGACATGTATTAAACATCCAAAACAAATTTTGACTTTGTGGAAACCAAATAAATTATGTCAATGCCTTTTACTTCTGGGGGAAAAATGTTAAGCTGTGATCTGAAAAAAGCTTCTTGAGCCCTGGAAATTAGACTTCTGTTTCAGGAGTCAGGTTCTCCCATTGAATCAATTTCTCCTATTCACTCAGCCCTCTTGACAAGAGTGATCATGTCTTATCCATCTTCATCTTCCCATTTCACTGCAGTCCAGTACTTCCCATGTAGTAAACTCTTCATACGTGTTTGAATAGGTTTAAATTGGGGAATACTGCTGGAACCACCATGTGACTTGCCCAGACATATTTCTGAAAACTGGAGAATGTCTTGAAATCAGAGGAAGATATTCTGGTTTGAAAATTTATCTCATTGTAGGAAATACATGGAGAGCAGCAGAAAATGAATGAATTATCTTTAATGACACATGTTAGTTCTACAGAACAAGCATGTAACTTACCTTATGATTTTTAGTTTATCTAGAAATATGTCATATTTTATGTCTATGGACAGATATGGAATATTTCCTTTATTTCTGGCTCCAGACTGTATTTTTTGTTTATTATAATACTTCTTATCTCTGCTTCTCATAATTTATATTAAGTTGTCAGCATAGTTATTTATTCATTAACTACAGGAGTGTCATAATTTTGAAAATTTCTTTTACACTTAATATTTCCCTTTTGGTTGTGTGGTCACACACTCAAACTTTTCATAAGAAGTGCTTTTGCTTTATTTTGCTACTCTGAAGAGTGTAAAACCTGGTTGGTCGTCTCCATTAAGCCTAGAAACAAAAAGCTGAAACTTTAATGGAGGGAATGTTTTAGGATCACATAAGTTACTTTTTCTGATAAATAGAAGCTCTAAAGGGCATTAAACAAGACTACATTTTGTTCATCCCTGGAAGATGAAGCAGAGAGAGATATTTACGCAAACTTCATTTTTTTCCACCCACTAGACTTGGCAACTTGTCTTAATTAGTTATAACTCTTTGTGTTATTAATCTGCCATCTTCCTAATAAGATATAAGGATTTTTATAAAAAATTAACAGGAAGATGATTTGTGTGCATGTTTTGACTTTTACCAACCAAAACAATTCCATAGTGCTTATTTCCTATGACTGACCATTGTTCACACATTGTAAAAATACACTCTCTACTCTCAAGATATAAACAACTTTATTGTGGAATAACGAGTGTGTGATTGGGGTTTTGTGTTATTGTAGGATATGGAGCTTACCCAGGCAATAACTGACTCTGAAGAAGTTTTTCAAAGAAAGGCAAATGAGGCCTGTACCTGGTGTCAGTATTTCCCATTGCTTATGCATGTATATTAAAAAAAATTTTTTTCTGGATTATAAGAGTGAAATGATTGTTTTTTTTTTCAGATAACAATACAGAGTGCAATGCAAGTAGAGTTTGAGACTGTATTTAGTGATTGGATGTTAATGCTCCTTTCACTTAACTGAAGTGAAGTGAAGTGAATTGAAAGTCGCTCAGTCATATCCAACTCTTTGCGACCCCATGGCCTATACAGTCCATGGAATTCTCCAGGCCAGAATACTGGAGTGGGTAGCCTTTCCCTTCTCCAGGGGATCTTCCCAACCCAGAGAGAGAGAACCCAGGTCTCCCGCATTGCAGGTGGATTCTTTACTAGCTGAGCCACAAGGGAAGCCCAAGCATACTGGAGTGGGTACCATATCCCTTCTCCAGCAGATCTTCCTGACCCAGGAATTGAACCAGGGTCTCCTGCATTGCAGGGAGATTCTTACCAACTGAGCTATCAGGGAAGGAATACACTTATAGTAGATGTTCCAAATTCCTGTCATATAGCCATGTATCATTTGGTGAAATCTGCTATATTGCAAGATATTGTCTCCTTGTTGACATAGCTTTTGCTTAGTATTGAATGTGTCTGCTGAGATATGTGTGCAGTTATCAACTGCAAGGCTTATGGCTACTGTTAAATTTTCAACAAAATCTCAGATTGGTTTTGCATTCCTTTTTTTTTTTTTTTTTGGACATTCTGGGTCTTTGTTGCTATGTGTGGGCTTTCTCTAGTTGCAGTGAGCGGGAGCTATTCTCTATTTGTGGTGCACAGGCTTCTCTTTACAGTGGTTTCTCGTTTCAGAGCACAGGCGCTAGGGTACTCTGGCTTCAGTAGTTGCCAAGCATGGTCTTAGTTGCCTTGAGGCAAGTGGGATCTTCCTGGACCAGGGATCGACCCATGTCCCCTGTATTGGCAAGCAGATTTCTTAACCACTGGACCATCAGGGAAGTCCTCTTTTGTATTAGTTTAAGTGTTAAACTACATGATGTAGAAAGGAGGTGTTCAATATTTCAGTAGAGTGACAGTATAAGTTAATTCTGTGCATTCAAAGGTAGACAGACAGCAGAATATCCCCTTGGGTTTACCATAATGATGGCTCTGCCAATATGAATGTAAACACTTCAGTTAGAGTAGGATGAAAAGGACTTAGTTTTTCTTCCAGCTTCTAGATGTTTTGTTCTCTAAGCTTTCCCTATAAATTACAGTGTTTTCTAAAGCTCTGAGTTTGACGTTAAAATGCTGTTGCAGCACCTAGCCTTGGTAAGGAGGCTTGTTGCATGTAAAATAGAATTTCAAGAGAATTTGAATGATAACCTGAAGGAATCCATAGAAAGTTAAGTGTGGCAAATTTGAACTGGTGTTTTTACCTTCAGTGAAACAGAGGGCCTTTGCATCAATTAATCGGGAAAAAACTTGAGAAATGATACTTATGCAGATTTGTCCTCCACCTGTCGTCTGCTGTCTGCATAACTTAACACAGGAAGATATTAAACACCCCCAACTATATATAGCCATTAAGGCTGTACTGTAAATTTCTGATAACAAAACATTGGCAGAGTAAATGTGTTAGTAGTTTGGGTGCCAGTCAGACTTCTGAAATCAGTTTAGAAAGAACCTATTAGACACCAGCAAACCTTTATGGAAAGTCTTCTGGTGTATGATTAATATACTCTGGTAAGAACTATGAATATGTAAAACATAAAATAATATGATTACTGTATATGAAAATCTAGTCAGTCCCACCATGACATTTAAAGGTTCCTATTTCTGTATGTTAGAATTGTAAGTGTATTGATTTTTTTTTAATAAGAAGTCCATTGCATTTTAGTAAAAACATGAAGAGTTTCATAAGAATTGGATTTTACACTATGTGGTACAATTTGTTGGTTGTATTAAGCATTAAGATCAGTTAAGATTTAAGATTAGCCTCTGAATTATATGGTGTTTAGTAGAGAAAGTAACAAAAAATTTCTGGAGTTGGATTCTTTTAAGTGACATGGCATAGGGGAAGTTGCAGGCTGTCCTGTGTGAAGGAGCAGAGAAGGACATTAAACACCCCTCTGTGATTGCTGAAGAAGTGGTGGTCAAGGGCAGAAGGTAGGTTGGTACCAACCATAAAGGAGAAAGATTAATACTTGTGTAGGAGAGTGTGGACAATAATTCACAGATTTTAATTTTCAGAGTTGGCAAGGATGTCAGGAACCATGAAATTCTGAAAAATTGAATGACTTATCTAAACTCACATAGCCTGTTTTTGGCAAAGTCAAAAGAGGAAACCGAGTCTCTTTCTGTTACACCACAGTTGGAGGATAACAGGACATGAATGAGGATTTGAAGATGCTAAGTAATTAAATCATAACAGTGCATCATCACTTGAATTTGATGGCAGTTGTTAAGACCCATTCATGTGGGCAGAAAGAAAGATAAGGAAGTTCAAAAAATAATGTTTTAAGTGTTCCAGTTAGTACTGATGAGGACATGGACGAACATTTTGGCCATGACTTGGAGAATAGAGAGAGGTTTGAGAAAAAATTGAGCAGGCATTTCATGCCTCCATAGTGCAGGTTCACCCATGTGTCGTAATTAGTCTCTTCACTGCTAGTCCTTCTGTGTGTGTAGGGGACAAAGTTTATTCATTCCTAGCACTTAACACCATGGCATACAAGACCTTCTCAGTGTGTATTTGTTGAATGAATAGCCCCAGAATATTTCTGTTTGTAGAGGTTGGAGGAGATGGAGAATTTGAAGTCAGGCTAAAACCATAGTAATAATAGCACAGTTTGGCAGGAAGAGTGGTTGGTAGTGTCTAAGGCTTCTGAAATGCCATGGTGAGATATTACACCACTGCTCATAAATTTGAGGACAATCATCATTACTTAAGACACAAAGGTAGGTTAACATTGAACATATGTATATTATATATGAATTGACTATATATGTTATGTATGATATGGTTTGTGTGTATATAAACTGGGATAGACTACCTTGTTTTACCCACCGGGGAAAAAAGAAAAATAAGTTATAGATTTTTTTTTAAGTAGGATTCACCAGAGGTTCATTAACTAATTAAGGCTTGAGTACTGTGCAAAAAAAAAAAAAAGGTGTACTTATAGACTAAATGTTAAAAAAAAAAAGAAAAGAAATTCCAGAGCAAGTACCACCACACAAACCATTAATATACTGTGGGATCATGGTATAGAAAAAATTGACAGAAAGACATAATCTTCTTTCCACATTTCATCCTTTTAAAGGCAAATATTGGCCTTTCAGGTTTCTAATATCTGTATATTTGGATGAGAACATGATATTTAAAAAGAAATGTCAAGTGTCACTTTAGCCTCTAGAAATTGTGACCAGCCCTTTGCGAAACTGTGTCCAGCTCTTTGCAACCCCATGGACTATTGTCTGCCAGGCTCCTCTATCCATGGGATTTTCCAGGCAAGAATACTGGAGAGGGTAACCATTCCCTTCTCAGGGGATCTTCCCGACCCAGGGATTGAACCCAGGTCCTCTGCATTGCAGGCAGATTCTTTACCATCTGAGCCACCGGGGAAGCCCTCCAGAAATCCAGCTGCACCTTAAACAAAAACAATGGGACTAACTTTATTTTGCAGCATTCATTTCTTTGCCATCACCTATTTAGAAGCACTTAATTTTTAGCTTAAAGCTGGGTGTTATTTGGCCTTTTCTCTCTCTACTTGTCTGATTGCTTTATCTCTGCTTTGCCACTTGCTACCTCCTTAATTGCTAGAGGTTTCCAGGGTTTGTTCCTTGACTCTTTTCATTCTAACTACTGTCACAACCTCAGCTCTCACTTCTGTGCATTTGACCCAAATCTGATCTTCCTTGCCCTTGAATCTCAGATGGCTTTTTTATTTTCTCACTGCACATTTCACCTGTATGCTTTTCTGGTACCTCAAACTGTAAACGTTCCCAGACCAAACCCATCATTTCACCCTCAAACAATTCTTTCTTCCTCAGAATGGCACTGTCTTCTCTTCTTACATAAGTTCGATAACTCAAGGGCATCTCTAATTCTTCCCTCTTATTTACCTCCCATAATGTCTCTGTAATTTGATTTCTATTGTTCCAAGTCTGTACTGGAAACACGCTTCCCCCCCATTATCCCTGACATATTCCTTCAAAGTCCAGCTTCACGAACTCTTGAGTCACATGAAAGTAACCTCTCCTTCCATTTCACTGCTATAACATTTTTTTTTCCATCACTGCTGTAACATTTTATTTTAATGCGTCTTAAGCCATTTAAAACCTTCTTTCCTATATTAGAATTATTTTTTTGAATTATAGTTGATTTACAATGTGTTAATTACCAAGATGATTTCGTTATAGACATATATGTATGTATTCTGTTTATATATTACAGATGTATATATATGTATTATGTTTATGTTATAGACATATATGTATTCCATTATAGACATATATATATGTATTCCTTGATTCTTTTTTATTTCATTGTTTGGTTCACTTGTGTCACTTTTTGGGTTCCACATGTAACTGATATCATATGGTATTTGTCTTTCTTTTTCTGACTTACTTCACTTAGTTTGATTATCTCTGGGCCCATCCATGTGGTTTCAAATGGCATTTTTCTTTTTTATGGCTGAGTAATATTCCATTGTGTATATGTACCATATCTTCCTTATCCATTTCTCTGTTGATGGACATTTAAGTTGCTTCCATGTCTTGGCAACGGTGAATAGATACTAGAGTTATTTGTGTATTCTCCTACCTCTCTTTCTAGCCTCAAAGTTTTAGGGCAAAGTCCTTTAATATTTTTTTATTCCCAGGATATAGCTAGTGCTCAGTCTGTACAGTAAGGGCTCAGCACATTTGTTGAATGAATGAATGAACAGATATGAATTCTAGTACTGTCAGGTCCTAGAATATGTAATGATCAGAGGTTATGAGAGAGGCTTAGGTCCTTTCTGGGAAAGTAACTGTATGATGGATAACTTTTTATGTTGTGTTAACTGAGAAATAAAACCTTTTTAGGTGTCAAATTGGTTTGCTAATGCAAGACGTCGGCTTAAGAATACTGTTCGACAGCCAGATTTAAGCTGGGCCTTAAGAATAAAGTTATACAACAAGTATGTTCAAGGGAATGCTGAGCGGCTCAGTGTGAGCAGTGATGACTCCTGTTCTGAAGGTTTGTTAACATTTTTATCTTGCTTTCTTTACTCTGCCTCTGTAAGGAGACATTCACCTCAATTCCTATTTCTAAGGTCGATCCCACAAAATATAATGCTGTCATAATGGTTCTTTTTTCTTGTACAAGGTAACTTGACTTTTATAATACTATAAATGACCAACCAGATTATGGCTGTTTCCTCTTGTTCATAGATTTATCATGTGTCAGAATAACATTTTCTGTGAAGTTTATTAACATTAAAATGCCAAAGGGAGAAATTACTAAGATTCCTGCTTTTCTTTGCCTAAAAATTAATCTTAAATATCAAAGATAACTTTACACACTTTAAATATTCTTCCTATATGTATATTTTAAATCATTAAATATAACAATTGGGTGTCTGGGGAAAAGTACGTGTAAGAACTTCCTAGTGGTATTTTCCTTCTTAGATGGAGAAAACCCTCCACGAAACCACATGAATGATGGCGGCTATAATAATCCAGTTCACCATCCCGTGATTAAAAGTGAGAGCTCAGTCATAAAGGCTGGAGTACGGCCAGAGTCACGAGCCAGTGAGGACTACGTATCACCCCCCAAATACAAGAGCAGCTTGTTGAATCGTTACCTTAACGACTCTTTGAGACACGTCATGGTCACAAATGCGGCCATGATGGGAAAGACAAGGCAAAGAAACCATTCGGGATCTTTTAGTTCCAATGAGTTTGAGGAGGAGTTGGTATCTCCCTCGTCGTCAGAAACGGAAGGCAACTTTGTCTATCGCACAGGTAAGTCTGTGCTTTTCGTGATAATCTTGTTTAAACAGAATGAAGGCTGCAGCAGAGGGCTTTTTTCCTGTAGATGTCAAGACATAATTTTTATAGCCAGCAGATTTGCACATATGGCCCACAGTTCAATTTGAAAGCTTTCATTTTGTTCTTCATTAGCAGATAACGCTTGTTAGCAGATGATGGTCTACTGGGAAGTTTTCATCCTCAATGAAGATCTTCAATCTTAGCAATAAACATACTTAGAGGAGATAAATATTGGCTTTAAGAATAAATTATAATGGAGGAATGTCCCAGATCATAACCAGCCATGCAAATATTTTGTATTCCATCTTTTCTCTTAAATTCTTTGATTGCTTATATTGATGGAAAATGAGCATAAACTAGCATGGATGGCGAGATGTTTGTGAAGGAAAAGTGGCTTAAATTGCTTTGGAAATCTTACTTTTATTTCTGAAAAACACAAGTAGGGCTGATAAATAGCTTTGAAATCTTTACTTTTAGTTCAGAAAAAATGAATCAATTTCCACCTGTCCTCAGCTTTCAGATGGAGTGGCAAGCTTGGTGAAATTTTCTATCTTGACTTTAATTCCTCCAGAACTTTGCATGTAAAGAGTGTTTGAGCAAGTTTGTTTTAGGACAAAGGATTGTGTGTGTCCTACATCTGGTATAGGTAGAGTCCACGTCCTGAAAATGCCAGGCAGTGAGATTTAGAAATGTTACCCAGGGAATTAGCTTCAGGAAGCATGGAGTCCAGCCGTATTATGTCACAGATAAGAAAGCCCAGACGAAAAACAGACAGTTAGTGACTCTCCTACAGATCAGCAGTGCAGCTGAGCCTGCACCAGAGGTCCGAGGAATGTAATTACTGCTAGACTGCTGTTACTGTTATTACACATGTTGTCACCAGTCACTAATTGAATATTTGTGATATACTAGGTTCTGTGTTAAATACTATGCATGTACTACTACCTTGAGTCCTTATAATATCAAGAAGCTTGACATATAAACAATAGAGCTTTATAAAGACATTTAAAGTTGGTCTGCTGAATATATCCTTAAGGTTAGTCATAAATCTGATTTTCAAGTGTCTACAAATATGTACAAGATAACACTATCTATGAGGATTCAGAAGATGTCGCAATACATTTTTAATGACTTAATCTCATTTTCTGTTTGTATCTCCAACTCCAACAATGAAAACATTTCCAGACACTCAGAAATACATAGGCTTGTAAGTAATAATTGTGTCTAGGAAGAAGTAAAACATACAATAAAAGATAATTTAGCAAAAACAAAAAAGTTCAAACTATCTGTTAATACCTAACTGATGTGGCCAGACAAGAACTTGCAATTCAGAATGTTTATTTTCAGAAAAAGGAAAAAAAAAATCAAGTCATTCAAGTACAGATAATTGAAAAAGGAATAAACAGAAAACAAAAAATGATAAAATAAAGACTGAAAAACAGATAAATCAAGAGTTGGCTCTTTGAAGTCAGTAGTAAAAGAAATAAGCAAAAATTAACTCAAAGTTGGAAGTGAGAAAGAGGATATAGCAATCAACATATTTTTTATTAAAATAATATTTTAAAAAATTATTATAAAGTACTACACACAATCGTTTGACAGTATACCATATGCAGATGTATGGATGAAGTGTATTATCTACACGAATTGTTAATTCGTAGTAAGAAAAGTTTTAAATGACTGCTAATGCAGGAAAAATTAGTTTTTAGTAAACTCAGTTCCCAAATGCTTGATAAAGCCATTGGATTTCTTTTTCAAGCTTTAAATAAATAATTAATTCCTATGCTTTGTATATGTTTCTGGAACATATAAAAACATGGGAAGAATCTCAATTTTTAAAAATGTAAATGTTTTCCTAACCTCCAACCAGATTAAGACAGCATAAAGTCAAAATTTTTATTTGTGGTACTAATACTGACTATGAAACAACGTAGGAAATATTGATAATCATCTAATGTTAAGTGGAAAAATTTTAATTGAGGATGCCCTGAATATGACAAGTGTGTATGGACAAGACAAGAAAGATAAAAACAATAAAAATAACGGTTGAATGAGGTGGGGGTAATTGAGATCTGTTCTTTAAAATTTTTTTTGTTTTTCTCGTAAATTTATGTTGCCCAGTAAAAACAAGATCATGTGTCTGTGAAATTTTCCCAGCATGTGTGGGTCTTCTGAAAATGCAAGCTGTTTTCAAAGGTGACAAAATATAAAATCAGAGAGGGACTAACATCTTGTACAGTCGATGCTTTTCAAAGTGAAATAGCCTGGCCATTTATTTTTATTAAAGCATTCCAGATGCACTTGGTTCGGGTTATGGACTATTCATTTGCCAAATTCTATTTTTAAATAAAAACCTATCTTTTAGTTATGCAAGCAGTGAGATCACAGCCTAGACACGTAAGCTTCTGGTTTCTCGTGCATGTGTATAAGCTTTAAAAGAACAGAATAAAATTGTAGAATTTGTGGATGGAAAATGAAGCAAGAGCGGTTGGTCTAAGACTGGTCTACTAAATTTCAGACCAAAACACCAAATGACTGTCTTCTGTGAAAACTGACAATATTGCTGCAGTTGTAGCTGGGTTAGCAGTCATGCATGAGTAGTAGAACAGGGAATTTCAATAAATACTTTCTGAGAAACTGCTTTGGTTTTCCCTGGCACACAGGCTTGTTCTGAATTTCTTCAGTTCTTTCTGATTATATCTTTTTTCCTCACCTTAACAGCAAACTTCTAAGACTGCTATTAAACACCCTTTCTCCCACCCTTGTTGTATAGGAGTAGGTGACCTACTCAGAAGAGATCACCTTTAAATACAATTTATTGCTTTATCTGTGCTTAAAATTGTATCCATTTCTTCCACCCATTTTTGTAAGACAGCTGCAATCTCATGATTCATTTCATTAAATATATGGAGGCAAAAAGCCAAGTGAAAGAAAGAGTTGGTTTTTGGAAGGGTAATCACTGAATTTCATTTCCCTTGTTAAATTCTAGGAGGCAGAAGTCTGGGAGATCATGAAGCAGTAATCCTAATTGAAGATATTACTAGACACCATCCAAGTAGATACAAACATGTTTTTTTATTTTATTTTATGTAGATATTAAATATTTCTCTGTAATCTGCACTCTCCCACATCATGTAGGAAGAAAAGATATTTTTTTCAAGGGCATAGCAGGCTATCAATAAGTATTCTGATGGCTTCCCTGGTGGTTCTGCTGGTAAAGAACCCGCCTGCCAATGCAGAAGACAAAAGACTTGCAGGTTCGATCCCTGGGTTGGAAATGTCCCCTAGAGAAGGAAGTGGCAACCCACTCCAGTATTCTTCCCTGGAAAATTCCATGGACAGAGGAACCTGGTAGGCCATACAGTTCATGGGGTCACAAAGAATCAGACATGACTGAGCGCTCTTCTCTCTCTCTCTCTCACACACACACACACAAGTATTCTGACAGCAGCAATCATAGCGTAAGAATTGATCAGAATTATTAACGTTATTCCTTCTAAATAGAATTAAGTAATATGCAAGAAAATCTAGCCACTCAATCTCATTTGTTCAATGAAGTTATCTAAATTAAAATTACAGTCCTCTTCATCATGTTAGGTTAAGTGTTAGTCTCTCAGTCAGGTCCAATTCTTTGTAACCCCATGAACTGTATCCAGGATCCTCTGTCCATGGAATTCTCCAAGCAAGCATACTGGAGTGGGTTGCCATTCCAGTAATTTTCAGATGTTGGATGGAGTGACTTCCCATTGCAAACTGCCCTCCAGGTCTCTAGTCCTTGGATGGGTCTGCTCTCAGAGATATCAGGATAAGGGCTGTAGCTTCATGCCCACCTCCATTCCTCTTGACTCAGTAGTTGAGCTTCTGCAAATGGGACCATCTGTGAACATCTGTAGCATCTTCCAGAGGGTGTCCTCCATAGAGCCTTTTCTAACTTGGATTCAAGTTTAATTTACCCTCCAAACCAAGCCTGTTAAATCTTCTTCAGTGAAGAAGAGAGGAGTCACTTCTAAGAAGTATGCTTGATGAAGGGAAGGACAGGCAAGTCTTGAAATAAAATGTGTGAACCTCCCTGCTCTGTTGCTGGACAAGTTCCTATCCTGCTGTTTCTTTTCGCAGCTCACAAGTGATCAGCTTATAAATGGCTAGTACATGCTAATGGTTACTCTCTGAGCTCCACTGCCTCCCCAGTATATAATTCATAAATTTACTCTGCTCCCTAAAGCCTGAATGTTTCAACTTCATCTTATTAAACTGCCTGAAATCCTTCTTAATTATACACATCTGGTGTAGCAAAAACATAATGGTGGATGGAACTCTTTTCTATATTAGTGTGAATTAACCAGATTAGCTTTCCCTCCACTTGATGAAGGTGAATATCCCGGAAGCAGTGGAGATTTTGATGGAAAGAAAGAAATCATTTATTCCCTAAACCAGTCTCTTCGGGAGGAAATGTCCATTTGAATGGCCCGCAAAATGAGGGAACTAGGGATTTTGGTTACTAGGGAAAGACAAACGAAGCAGCAGGAAGTAAATCTGGGAGGACACAAGGCTAAATGCCATTTCCAAATTTTGTTCTTGGCTAACGATGACCCCAGGAGGTGGGGAGTGGGGGTTGTGGTAGAGATGTTCTTTTTTCGCTGTCTTTCTGCACACTCATGTACTTTAGAAATTAAGCTGGTATTTTCCATAGTAAAACATAGGGATGCTCATGAGTTGAATAAACCACTGGATTCACCTTGGATTTAACTGTAATCTATATAGCCTAGTTTCTTTGGAGAAATGCAGTCTCCGTTCTCAACCACTGATTTCACAGTGCACTTCTGGGACACGGTACGAGGTGTCCTTCAGGCATTCACATCACATATCGAAAACACTCCAGGCTCACCAGAGCCCTGGGTTTTATGCTGGGCTGCTTGTCGAAAAAAATCATAGATTAAATGAAGCAGAGGGAAAGATTTAAAGAACTGCCTTGC